GATGATGATGATGATGATGATGATGATGATGATGATGATGATGATGATGATGATGATGATGATGATGATGATGATGATGATGATGATGATGATGATGATGATGATGATGATGATGATGATGATGATGATGATGATGATGATGATGATGATGATGATGATGATGATGATGATGATGATGATGATGATGATATTTTTACATTTCCTGCTAGATCGACAGCAGGTTATGATCTATTTAAAAGGTATGCAGATTGGATCAGCCTTAGCAGCTGGGTAAGCTTGGGGAGGCAATCCGCGGCGATATCCAACAGGCTCGACGGGACACCAGACACTGCTGCGAGCTAGGGACAGCTTTGGACCGCGGCTGGTGGATATGCCTGGTGCCGTTGCACACCTACCGCGGCCTGGTGGCACGTGTTTGATCATTATTATTATTATTAATCGCGAGCCCACAATTCCAGCAAAAGTGAAAGATCTGTCCTTACGTGCGGTATTTACTTCTTCAGCTGTGGAAGGCAGTGCCCGCGGTTATGTCCGCGTTCAGGAGGTCGTCCCTGCAGAGGTAAGAGAGTCGTCGCAAACAGTTAAGGTAAAGGCACAGATAAAATTACACAGCTCTGTATGTATCTACGTGTGTATGTAAGTATGTATATTCACTGTGGCGGCAACTTGACCATGTTGCGGGGCGGGGTCGGGTATATTATTGGCCAAACAGGCTGAGTGTCCAAAACAGGCAAGCAGATAGATGAAGACGGCAGGCGGCGGTGGAAATGTCTCTGGACAGGTCCGGACAGGAGACCTGCCCTCATGTCCGGGAGGGCAGGTAACAAAACCGCCAGCAGCACAATCAGATAGTAATGAACTCGGGTGTGCCATCGCAGGGGAAGGCAATAGTAATAAAGTAATAATAAAATAATAATAATAAATTAATAATAATAAATAGTAGTAGTAATAATAAGGGTAAGAAGAAGGAATGGAGAAACGTTAGAGAAAGGCTTTGGTGCTCGATGGTGGTGTGTATGTACGAAACAAAACAAGTACGTATAGGGCAAATATGAAGTTTTACAGTGCTAAAAGACCGGAACCTTTTCCTTACCAGAATTGACACTTGGCATCCAGCAGCAGGTCAGCCGCCTCAAACACCCGCGGTCCAGCCGTGTCTATGTTCATGACGGGGTTCGAGGTGGCGGTCCAGGGCTTCCAGCTTGGGGTGTTCTTGAGCAGGCGGGAGGTGAGGGAGCTGGTGCGCGGCGGCAGGGGAGAACTAGAGGCGGCCACGGCGTTGATGATACCTGTGTACGACAAATGTACGGCAAAGGTCCGGCAGGGGTGCACGTGGCAATTTACATGTATGTGTGTATATGCTTATAAATGGATGCATATCGCGCATCAGCACTTCGCTTACCCGACAAGTACGACGCAAGCTGCGTCTCGTTAGATGTAAAGGGACACTGGTTGAACGGATAACGGTACGGCGCTAGGAAGGTGAAAGGAATGTCCTGCACGTGCATGCACATGAAATGTAAGAATATGAGAGCTCATACCACCTCAAACGCACGAAGTGATACACTGAGAGCAGAGCCTGGAATTAATTGGCCCCAAACCCCGAACTTACATAAGAGTTTAACGCATCCATGAAGTTGGTGAACTCCTCGCCAAAGAACAAGCCAGTAGTCACTGAGGTTTCACGGCATGTACGGCATGACGTAAGAGAGCGGGCCCCCCGGGCATGTAAGCTGAGGCGGTGTCACATCACCGCAGCCGGGCATACATACATACATATGCATTTATACACGCATGCACCCTCCATATCGTAAGGTCCGGACGAATAGGCAATCTGCCGTACGTAGAGTACGTACGTACGGCGTCCTACTATGTGGCCCTACATAACATGCACACACAGGCACCCTGTTCGCTGTCCATTACACCCTTCCCCTTCCCCCCCCTTCCCCCCTTCCCCCCCCCTTCCCCCCCCCTCCCCCCCCCTCCCCCCCCCCCACACACTGCTCACCGAACAGCGGACACCCTGTCTTGGGTTTCGAGGCCTGCAGGATGTGGTACCGCACAGTGAGTCCCTGGGCGGACAGGAGCTTGGCAACGCGGCGGGAGGGGCAGTGGTAGCCGCCATCTGGTTCCGGAGCGAAGGAGGGGGCAGGATCAGGGACAAGAGGGGGAGTAGCACAGGAATGCATGACGGACTTCACTGCCAACAATTTACTTAGGATTTTTACTTAGGGATTTTACTTAGGGTTTTTAGGAAATATAGTGGAAGGGTTGAATGTCTTATCTAACCACGGACAGCAAACGGGCAGCAAACGGGCGGCACGCGACCCCACGCGAAAACAATGTTATACAGGGTTGTCAGTATCGGAAAAGGTCGTGTGCCGTCAAGCATGCCTGTGGCTGTGCGTGTTGCGCTGGTTGGGTCGCACCGGGACCGTCACCCTCAGATCCCCGAAACCCCTTTACCCCGCTTGGGAGGTAAGAGCCCTCCCACACACACCCAAAACAGCGTGTGTACGTACGGTAACGCATGGCCGTATCCGTGCCGTACAATGTCGTGTACCTACGCATACACACCTGTAATCACATTGATAGCTGAAAGAAGCCAACTGCCGCCATAGTACTCGTCCGCGTTGTACTGCTGGTACAGCTGCACGTACAGTACGGTAACAGTACGACATTACT